ATCATAAGTTGCCAAAAATATAATGAATAAAAAAAAAAATTATAGATGTTTGCCGAGTTAAAAACCCCCCAACCGTCCCCACGTGGTGTGCTGTTGACTTCCCCTTAATTAGTTTTTGATTTTTTTTGTGTGGCAAGAGGGTGTCTTCAATTGGACTTCTTTTAATGGGGTAGCGACATCTACACTCGAGAACGTAAAAAATATATTTAAAAAAAAAAAGAGATTATTCACAGCATAATGACTGTATGTAAATTTGTGTGTTTCGGACCTGATTAAGTTTCGTGGATTTCTTCGTATGCGATTGGCTCGATCTAATAGGATTAAAATAGGAAATATCGAATTCAAATGCAGCCCGCGAATTTAAAGAGAAAGCTCCGTTTGTTTAATAAAAAGACCACTAGTATCGTTTACGAAAATGAATTATCGATAAATACGAAAAAAAATTTATACGGAAATTATTTTTAGTAATGAAAATATTTTCTATTGACTAATTACTTTTATATATATTCTTTGGCCACACATAAAGGTCCCACTAAATCAGGAGATTATCTTTTGAATTTTTAAAGTAAGGAACGAGCGAAAAGGGAGTTGCTATCTTTGGTAATTCTTGAGCTGTGCTTTTTCCATTTTGGTTCCCACTTTTCTAGTTCAAGAGAAGGCGCAACTAGAAGACGCAGTTAATGTTTCAGCGCCGACACATAACATGCATGGAAAGCTAATGAATGCCACGCCACGCCATGCCCTGCAAATTATGGCCTCCCAATTTCTCATGACACGAAACAAAAAGAAAAAACATTATATATACACAAAATGTCAAAAAGTAAGAGATTTCAATTTTTTTCCACGAAAAATACCCAAATGACATTCCTACATATCGCTATTGAGCCAAATTTTTTTTTTTTTTGCGTAGTGCGGACGTCACGCATCTGGCATCAAATGGTGAAATTTAAAAAGTCAAAATTAAAAACCAGATATGCGAAAGGCCATTAGGTCGGGGTGAAATGGAAAAGAGGAAGACAATATAGCGGCGTGGCAACCCCACGATGGCAGCCTTTGTTCTTTGTTCTTTTTCTCTTGGGTAAGAATTGCAAGGGAGATCGGACAAATCGTTGCGAACCCGAAATTTTGATCCTTCTGACAAGATGGTACTGCGGAAAACTCCGAAAAGTTTTTCTTCTTTTTTTTTATTTCCCTTTTTCCATTTGGTAATTATTATCTTGTTTTTTTATTATTATTTTTTGGTGCTTCAATGTGTATGATTTCATGGGTGGGCCAAAATTCGTCTGCTAGTTTTGCTTGTTCTCGTCGTGTGCGCAAATTATGCACGGCGGAAGTTTCGAAATAAAAGAAGGTCTGAATTATGCGCGAGTCGCGAAATTTTGATTGAGCAGAGAACGAGAAGTCGCGATCGATCCGAACACGACGCCCATCAAATCGTCTCGGAGCCACTTGCCTCGATTAGACGTACCTTAATGCTGGACTTGAGTTGGGACAAGCTTAGAAACTGACCCGGTTAGGTTTCTCGGAACTTCAACTCGACTCGACTAACAGGTAAGTTTTCGGTATGGATTCGAGTCAAAGCTCGAACGTGAACCCCTTAACCAATTTAAAAATACCATTCGGTTATTTTATTTTTTTAAATTCATAACTATACGTGTCGGGGTCAAATAAGATTAGCATAAGATTCAAATCCTCCGTGATGGCCACGACTTACTCGATCCAAACACTTTTTTAAAACCTCGCCCTCAATCCAACCCCGTACCAAAAATCGGATCGCGCGAAGCAGAGAATGAACTTGAAGCCGTCGTGGAACGAGACGACACCTTTATCGATATCCAACCCACGATTCCAAATGCCGTATCGGTCTTCGCGACGAGTTAAATCAAGCGGGTCGTGGCGCGAGCATCTTTTTAGGATTACAATGACACGGACCGTAAGGAGCAAGAGCCAAAAACACCTGCTGGTGGTCCTCCCGCGCGTAGGGAGTGACAAAATCACGTCCAGCTCATCCTTCCTCCCATCTCCCGCTAAATTCCACCGTCGCCTCAGACGTTCGTTCAAAAGTCCAATTCCGCGTTCCTTCCTGTTTCCCGTGTTTTTGTCTTTAATTACTTATTAAAATAAATCCCGCGTTTCCTCCACCGAACCTAAACCCCTCCCCCACAAAACGAAACAAAACAAAAAATCCGGTTCCGTCGCAATAAGGAGACCCGATCCGATTTGTCGTTTTTTATAATATTAATCTAATTTAACGAAAATTAATGAATGGTAAATTTATCATAAGTATATCAATTTGGGGTTTTTTTGAAGTCAAAAAATTAGTTTGAGATTTTTCGTGATATTGATTTTTTTTTTACGGTTTCGTCGCGATAACGTGAGCCGATCCAGTGCGGCGCGCCCCCAGCGGCCCGGACACGGTGTCCGAACCGGTTCACCGACAGGAGTGACGGAGGAGGGACGTGGGGGCCACCCGCCTGGGCCCCACGTGGCGAGCGCCTTGCTGTGTTTTTTTCGGTTTTTGGCGGGGGCTCGGGATGGGCCCCACGTTTTCAACCCCCACCCCCCCCCCCCCCCCCGCGCTCGCGTTTGACCTCTCAGCCCGAACGGGGGTGGGTCTCTCTCCCTACTCCTACGTTAGTAACCTCGAAGCATAAATGGTTGACCCTTGCCTGCATGTGGTGGCCCGTCTCGTTTCCTGCGTAACCGTATAAAAGGACCGCATCAAAAAAATCGTCCCGCATTAAATTAGCATCAGGAAAAAAGAAATTAATATCAGATTAAAGTGAATATTAAGTAAAGCAAGGCATGCTATTGTTTTTTAAGAGCTCACCACATCGCTTATTGTATCTCTTTTTTGCAGATCCATTTACCAGCCGGATCATATTAATACGAAATAGCCCAACTTTTAAAAAAAATATTGATATTTACACATGACACGATCGCAAGGGTTAATATCACGAAAAACACTTAACTGATTCATCCGTGACAAATTTACCCTAACCTAATTTCCCGACGATAAAAAATCTCAAACTGGTACATTTATGACAAATTTACCCGTTAGTTTCCGTTAAATTAAATTAATAACACGAAAAATCACAAATCGGTATACCTTTAACAAATGGAGGGTAAAACTCCAAACTGGTAACCTGTTAATTGCCATATGTCATCCAACTTAGCAATTCGAAGGTAAAATTTAACGGAAACTAATAGAGGGTAAATTTATCATAAATATACCAAGTTATGATTTAGTTTGGGATAAATTTGTTATATGTGTATCAATTTGAGATTTTTCGTGGTATTAATCTCTTTTTATAATGGTTACTTAACAAGTATTGACCGAGGCTTCATTTTTTTTTTTTTTGGTCAACAACCGAGGCTTCATTCAATGGAATCGATCTCGTTACATTTTTATTCTAATTTAATGTGGGAAACCCCCCCCTGCTGTACGCAAGCATTGAATAGGGTCAATCGAAAGTTTGAATTTTATCAAAGCATTATATTTCTCCGCAACTTTACTCCATTGCATCACTGGCCCGAGTCCTTTTCGTTCTGTTCGCGGGAACGAAGGGAAAAGAAGGGCATTTAATCTTACGCGTCTATGACGGACTTCGATGCGTATTTCTTTTCTAAAGTCGCGCGGTGTCGATCCAACACATTCCGCGACTAATTTTACGACCTCATTCGATTCCGTCCCCCAGATTCCATGAAAAATCGAACCCCCCACCCATACTTTAATTAATTTTTATTTAAAATTAAATCCCTTTTAATTATATCGATAAAAGCATAGGGGTCATAAAATATTACTTTTTGGTGGGGGGGGCTCTGCTTTATGAATTCCCGAATCGACGTAGCACCAGAAGGAAGCCGCCCCGGGACATGATGAGGATTTGGCGATTCGGGTCGAAACTCTGTCTCGGGCGTGATGATTGCATCTTTACGAGTGCCCAGAAAGCTAATTGAGGGTCGGAAATCATTCTTTACGGCCTGCATCGTTCATCGCCCAGACGAACGGAGGGATGCGTCCGGTCCGTCGTCCCTACCGATCGAGAAACCTCTGAGGAAATCGAAAAGGATAAAAACGTACGTTGGACCTTGGAGTTTGTTTTGAATTTATCGGTGTTTGTCGATGAAGAGATGATGTGCGGTTTTTCGAAGCGGTCCAGACTCCAGAGGATTAAGCTTACAAATTTTTTTATCTTCTTTTGATGCGGAACTCAGAGGCACGTCATTGGGTTTTATCTTTTGTTTTCGTTGCCATATCTTTCCATCAATTTTTTTTATTCGGATGAAATTTGAACTCGAATTCGGGTTATTCTCTCGATGACATGAACATACAAGATTATAAAATCATCTCCGAGGGATACTTAGAAAGATCCATATACAAAAATACATTATAGTAAGTCAAAATTTAGATAATAAGTCGAAGATAGTCTATCTCTTATCAGTATATATAATATATGATCGATCCGAAATAATCACGGTACATTTTCGTAATCCTCTTTCGATATATTATCTTCTGAATCGCATTGGGATAGAGTTATCTCCTCCCTTGTCGAAAGAAAAGAGTCATTAAAACGTTCTCTAATTCTGTTCGATTAAATTCAAATTGAAATATTTGGACTGTTACAGATAGAATAGGAAAGAACTCGTTCCATACCATCACATGAAGATCGGGACTGCAGTCTTTAATGGGTTACCCCACCAAAATTTTCACTCGCAGGAGTTAAAGAAGCAAAACTCAAATCCAGAGATAGAGAGAGAGAGAGAGAGGGAGAGGGGGGTGTTCACCTTCGCCATCATTATTATAGTGTTTCTTCTTCGTTTTTTTTACAGTGAATGACGATGGAATAGAATACTATTTTCAGGGCCTTCACGAGCTGTGTCGCGACAGGACGACTGCTTACAAAATCTCCTTTCACACTGTCGCCCGTCGTCCCACTCTCCCCCCCCCCCCCAACCCCACACACCACACTCGCTCGGTCACACCTCCACCTCCACCTCTACCTCCACCTCCACACCTCCCTCCCCATCTGCGCGAGAGAGAGAGAGAGAGAGAGAGACAGAGACAGAGACAGAGACAGAGTGAATCTATCGAGAGCAATCGCAACCGGGGAATTTTGCAGTCGGGCATGAGCGAGTAGTCCCTCCGGACGATTTCGGTGCTGCATTCGGGCGGCGATTTGCAGATGAAGGAGCTCCGCCCTTGTCCTGTGTTGGGTCGTCGAGTGAGCTGCTAATCTTGTACGAGCAGGTCTCTCTCTCTCTCCGCGTTCTTTTTCGCTTTTTCCCTTTCTGGGTTGCTGTTTTTAGCTTTTGGGGTGGGGGGAGGTACAGACTTTCAGTTTCGGCGGATGCGAGCTTTGTTCCCTCGCCCCCGTGAAATCGAGCTCGTAACGAACTCGCCGCAAGCGAATTCCTCCGGTTTGTCTGCTTTTCTTTTCCTTCCCTTTTGATGGATAGAGAGATTCTGCTATCGGGTAGTCTCCAATCCGTGAGTACATTTGCTTTTCTGGTTTCTTGATTTTTATCTTGGTTTCTGTTGGTTGGTCTCTATCCTTATCCGAATTTTTTTTGAGCTGCTTCCTCGTATGCCTTGGATTTTGGTGTTAGCTTGTGCTCTGCCTCGTGCATGGATCTAAGCTTACTGCTGTCGTTGACACCGATCTGGTGGTTCCCCTGATTGCGGCACGCGCTCTCTGGCCGTGTCCAGCCAACCCAATGGACTTCTTGATCGATCCATCTGCATTTGGTTTCTTGGTCCAGTCGGGTCATTGCTTCTTGGTGTTGTGCTTCTTTCTCTCGATGCGTCGTGCTTGAGTGAAGTGGGGCTTGAGTTCATCTCGCTGAAAAAGGTTACTATTTTTCTGTTCAGATTCATCTGGGAAAGAATCGGGTGAGAAATGTCGAGGCCGCTGCATAGAGGGAGTTCCGGGGCGCGGATCTCCGGTGGCAGCCAAGATTTTTGGGATCCTCAGATGAAGGACAGAAGTGAAAAGGAAGATTTGAGTAGAAGAGATTCTTCTGACCAGAGCTACCCGCCGCAAAAGTTCGCGTCTCAGTTGCTTCACCCGAGTAACTCCCCTTCTAAGTTCACTAATCTCGAGAATGGCTTCGCATCCGATGCCTGCTCTGCCGGTAGTCCTAGGAAGCGAAACCATTTGATTATGCTCGCTCTGAGATCCAGTCTTTTCCTGATTGTAATTCTTGCTGTTACTGGATCGCTTTGGTGGACGATATCCATTTCGACCTCTTCCAGAGTCCACATAAACCAGCACTACAAGGATCTCCACGCTCGAGTTCTTTCGGATTTGTGGGACATAGGGGAGCTCTCTCTTGGGCCGACAAAGTTGAGAGAATTGGAAGCTTGTCCTGATGAGTTTGAGAATTATGTTCCATGCTATAATGTTTCAGAAAATGTTGCTGTGGGCTATTCGGATGGTAATGAGTTTGAGCGACATTGTGGGCATTCTGTCAAACAACATTGTTTGGTTGTTCCACCTACAAATTACAAAATCCCTTTGAGGTGGCCCACGGGGAAAGATATTATCTGGGTTGCAAATGTTAAAATTACTGCCCAGCAGGTACTCTCTTCGGGGAGCTTGACCAAGAGGTATGTGGACATGCTAATAATATCACTAGTTATATCACACTTCTATTTCCCTTCATATGATTAATACAACTTCCGTTGCCTTTCTAGGATGATGATGCTGGAGGAAGAGCAGATTTCTTTCCGTTCAGCTTCTCTTATGTTTGATGGCGTGGAAGACTATGCTCAACAAATAGCGAAAATGATTGGTCTTAGCAATGAATATGAACTTACAAAAGCAGGGGTAAGTGGAGATATTACTCAGCCATTGATTATTAGTCCCACCTGTGTCGGTGCTTGTGTTTTCTATTGTTTCCTTTTACCTCCTATGGATACTGGTGCCACTTGTTATCATGTTTCATGCTCTCCACTTTCGGTTGGATGACAGTAATGTTATATGCATAAATCTGAATTCAAGATATTCAGCACTTCTGGCCAAAGTCATCTTCCTCGTGATGCAATTTCATTGCAGCTAAATCAAAATGTAACTGGCCCTGAGATGAGTGAATCCATGTGTACTAATAGGAAATATTCATCTTCTAGTTTCTTCCTGTTTCTTCTCATGGTAAAAGGAACTTTCTCTTGCACCGCGTGCCGGCACTACTATTAGTTGGATATCTGAAATTGTAGTTAGTCATTACAGTCTCGTGTAAAAAGATGACATATCATATGATGATTGACAATTTTCATATTTAAGTTCTGAAAGCTTTGACTTGTACATCTTACTTTTTGTTTAGCCGCTATATGTTGTTGAGAGCACATTGATCATATATATTCACTTGCTGGCACTTCTCTTTAAGCTTCTCCTTGCATTGGTTTGCAGGTTAGAACAATCTTGGATATAGGATGTGGTTATGGTAGTTTTGGAGCCCATCTCTTCTCCAAACAACTCTTGACTTTGTGCATTGCAAACCATGAGACTTCTGGAAGTCAGGTTCAACTGACCATTGAAAGGGGTCTTCCAGCAATGATCAGTTCATTTAACTCAACCCAGTTGCCGTACCCTTCTCTTTCATTTGACATGCTGCATTGCTTGAGATGTGGGATTGATTGGGACCAAAAAGGTGCCTCTTGCCACTTTTGTTAAAGCATAGTCTACTCGTACAGCGTGCTTCACATGAAACATCTGTCTAACTAGTATGATTTACATATAATGAATAAATTTGCGGATTACTCTTGGAAGAGTGTTCGAGAAAACAAGGATCTTATTTATTACTATGCCTACTAGGGCAAAAAAGCATCTCTATAAGTTTCTTTGAGGTTCTCGCACAAATATCAGATTAAATGCAATGACATTATTTTTTTACTTTATTGTTTCGACATCCTTTGAGCTCTGTGTAATATCCAGGATAGGCCCATGAAAAGGTTGGAGCTTAGATCCACCCTCAAGGAAGTTTTAATAAAATCAATAATAGAAGTTATGTCATATAAACTGTGCGACTTTTGTTCCTTAATGCAAAGTCATGATACTTCCTGATTGGATTATAAATGGAAGAAAGTCACAGCCAGATACCATTTTTGGTTTCTATATTGATCCTCTAGTGGCTTCGATGTTGATTTGGAGCAATATGTGTGGGTCGAGCAGTTTTTCTCATATGAATACTTTAAATTAATTTAAGCAAGTCATTAGGACTGGTTTTTGCATTTTTACTGACCATTTAGATATTCGGGTTGTGTTGAGGTGATGCAGTCATGTATACTTCTGTTCATTCAACTATTATTTCTACAAGGAGATCATCAAATGCCACAGAAATGTGGACGAACTTCAGCTACCAATGTTTTTTGTGTTCTCTTAGTACGAGCCAAAGATAGAATAATTTTAAGTTTCCCAAAGAGGTTTACGATAGCATTAATGTCTTGATTGGCAAGGCAGTCCAGATAGCTTTCTCTTGCAATCAGAATATCTTGATGTGGTTTAGATGTTGGAATTAAAACGAAAACTCACTCATTTCCTGTTACTATGGTTGCTATACCCTTATCATTTGTATTCCTCCTCTTTCTGCAGATGGAAAGTATCTGTTGGAAGCAGATCGAGTTCTTAAACCTGGTGGGTATTTTGTCTGGACTTCCCCGATTACAAATGCTCATGGGAATAGTCGTATTAAAGTATATAAGAAACGGTGGGAGTTCATTCACGATTTTGCTGAAAGTCTGTGCTGGGAGTTGTTGTCACAACAAGATGAAACTGTTGTATGGAAAAAGACTAGCAAAACACGTTGTTATGGTTCCAGGTAAGGCAATCTTCGTGGATGTTTAAATTGGTGTTTGTAACATCTGTTGCTTGCAAACCCCAAATATTTGCATATAGATTTCTCGCACATTAAGATGTTCCTAGCCCTCTAATGCTTAAATAAACAGGAACCCTGGTTTGGGCCCTCCAATTTGCGGTAAAGCCCAAGATGTAGAATCTCCTTCCTACCGCCCACTTCAAGGGTGTATTGGAGGAACAAGAAGCAAGCGATGGATCCCTATAGAAGAAAAGACAACTTGGCCTTCTAGGGCTAATTTGAATGCGACTGAACTTAAGCTTTATGGTAATTTTCGCATTTCTCAAGACTGTAATTTCAGCATTTTTTGTGGGTAGTTATTGCATCAAGTCATAAATGATGATGAGAACATCTGTAAATGCATAATTTCAGGTCTGCATCCAGAAGACTTTGCCGAGGACACAGACAACTGGAAAGCAGCTATCCGTGAATTTTGGTCTCTCCTGTCGCCATTGATATTCTCGGATCATCCTAAAAGGCCTGGAGATGAAGATCCCTCGCCACCGTATAACATGGTTCGCAATGTACTAGACATGAATGCCCATTTTGGTGGTTTTAATGCAGCATTGCTTGAAGCAGGAAAATTTGTGTGGGTCATGAACGTGGTCCCAATTGGTGCTCCCAACTACCTGCCAATGATTCTGGACAGAGGTCTTGTAGGTGTGCGGCATGATTGGTAATTTGACCTCTTTCTTCTAGCCTTATTTCCTGTTATGTTTAGGGAAATTTTAATCCCAAGGACAATATTCTTGTCTAGCTTAGGATTCTATCTGAATTGGTGGGAGAAGAAGACTTTTTTCATAGCTATACATTAATATCATACATTTTGAAGAAGACGACATTTTAGAATTCGTAAACATCATACATTCTTTTGCATTTTTAGCCAACTAAAGATCAGACATTGAAATCTTGAAAATGGCAAGAAAATTTTGGATCCAGTAGACCATGCGTTCTGGCAACGTATCACTGAAGCAGGGTTTCAGAGTCTTATGCAGTGAAGCCCATCAATCTTCGCTTGCAGTATGAGTTGTGAGCATTCAGTTTTGGGGCTAGAAGAAAAAATAAGTAGAATGCCAGTTTGTTTGGAAAATCTAACACTGAATATAACTGTTGTTTGCCCGAAAGAAAAAGAGTATAAGTTGTCAATTGTAGAGCAGAATGTGAAAGTATGTCTTGGCACTATGAATAATGCATAGCACCAATTATCTGTACAACACTACTTATTAACTCACAGGCAAAATTTTGTATACATGCTTTGCAAGTTTACGTATTCTCATCAGTTGATTTTGCACTTCCCTCACAGGTGTGAAGGATTTCCAACATACCCCAGAACCTATGATATGGTTCATGCCTCAGGACTTCTCTCCCTTGAAAATAGCCAGAATCGCAGATGCTCAATGCTTGATCTTTTCATTGAGATCGACCGAATACTTCGTCCTGAGGTACCACCTTAATGGATTTCTCTCTCTCTCTCTCTCTCTCTCTCCCCCAAACAGATTTCCCTCTCGGTCCTTTCTTTTGCTGATTCTGGCTGGTCTACTCTATCAAAATGAATAAATGAGATTTAGGTTGAATAGGCAGTTCTTAAACGTGTGTGGCAGAATGGCTGCTTGGAAATATCTTCGTCTAGTTTTGTTTCATCTGTCTTGAATTCATGTCAAGCACGAGAAACTATTGTGCCACTGCAAATAGGTATATACATGCAGCATAGCATGGGGGGTAGAGAATTTTACGTCTCAGGAGGTATTGTGAAAGTTACTAGATATGATTTTTTCGGCCATCTAGCGGACACCATCTCAAGATGTGCATACTTTGTTGGCAACGAATGTGCTCATGAGTCGTGAATCTGCTTGTTTCCTCAATTCTTTTCTGCTTTATTGGTTGGTGTAGGGTTGGGTGATATTCCGCGATACAACATCCCTTATTGAGTCGGCGAGAGCTCTGTCCGCACAATTCAAGTGGGACGCACGAGTTATAGGAGTCGAGAGCAACACTGATGAGAAACTCCTCATCTGCCAGAAACCATTTTTGAAGAAGCCGTCGAGTTAGTTATACTCCACACTGGAACACATGAAAGTTTGGATCAGATTGGATCAACATTCGTTGGCTTCAGTTTCTTAATTTCATACATACAGCTATTCTATGAAGGACGACTAGCCGTTCCAAACGAAGACAAGATAGCCCAAAAAGGTAATAGGAAACAGGTGAATCTTTGGTGGAAACCAAACCCACAACACAACTCCTACGGAGCCTAAGGCGGACGTAGGGACTTGTAATTATGCCATTGAGGCGCTCCACAGTTGAGAAATATAGGGTTCAATTCTTTATGATGATGTCTCATTGTAACTATACTAAGACAAGAGGTTGATTAAGATTTGCATAGATAATCAGAAGAATAAAGCAAGTGCCTTTTTGCTGTAAAATGCACACGAGGGATTCTACCCCCATTCAATTTCTCATTTTTGAATGTTCTCTGTCTGCCTTTTATGCCAAAAGAGCCAGTTCGTCAGGTCGGGCCATCTCACATGGCCTCATAAGCTGGTTGCGGTTCATGTTCACATGTCTAGACTCCAGCCAAAAAAAAGACAAGGTTGGTTCTCCTCCTTACAAGGCTTACTTTGTGCTGCACAGAGGGAATTCTTCATTTACTCAAATGGATTTTAGTTTAAACTGACAAGAGGAAGAGAGAATTCACTCGACACATGAAATGACTGCACATCGCCCAATTGTGTTAGCGGTGTGCAAAAGTACCAAATCGGATCGGTCTGGCTTTCTGTTCTAATAAATTGGAATTGGTGAGTACTGGTCCGGTTTTGGGGATGGAACTGCCTAGCCGAACCACCCGAACCGGACTGATAGAGACAGAAAGTCAGTCCATTCCTATGAATCTATAAATGCAAGCAAAGCTTCCCTCCTCCTCTCTTCTTTCTCTCACTTCAGCTTTTGAGCGCTCTCTCTCTTGGCTATAAGAGAGCTCTCGGATCTTCACACTCCCAATCATTTTAGTAGCTGGCCTGGTAGGAGTGCGGGATTTTTGCTCAAATAGAGCTCCGATTCCTTCGCGGGAAGTAGTAGCAGATCCGCGACCGAAGTCGAAACCTTTGAGGCCGATGAGCATTTGGATCGGCCTTCCTTGTCCTCCGTAAATTGGAGAAGAAGTAAGTCTACCTCCTCTTTGCTCTGTTTCGCCATTCTCAGCCTCTCAGGACATGGCCGGTTCCATTGACCCTTCCGAAATTCAGATCGAATCACCAATTCAATTTTCAAGTGGGGCCAGAAGCTAACGGACGGTTTCCGATTGCAGGGTTTGTGAGGCCGATACTTAGTGGGCAATTTCTGATTTCAAGATGAAAATCGGCTCACCCGAAAACCGATCACTCGTAATTTGTGTTTCCTTATCAAAGATTTTATTACAGAATAAGTAGCCTAACCAAGATGGGTCAGTCTATATTATATAGCTCGAAGCATCCCCAACGTAGCACCATCGTGCACTTGTTCCTCCATCCATCCATGGCTTGGCGCGTCATCTTCTTCTTCAAAACCCCGGAGCCCAAACCCTCCGCGTTCCGAAACCCTAGCCTCTGCAACCTCCTCGCTTCCCCATACTCCACCTCCTTCCTCAAGACCAAGCTCCCCAAATCGCTCCGCAAGAAGCGCAAGAAGAAGGACTCCCCTCGGACCACCCCCGTCCAGACCCTCCCCAACCGCAACCCCCACTTCGAGTCCACCGTCGACCGCGACGCCCGCTTCCGGTTCCTCGCCCGGTCCAGGGACTTCCTCGCCCGGCAGCCGGAGCGCGTCCTCCGCCTCGACGACGCCGGCAAGCTCCACCGCGAGCTCGGCTTCCCCCGCGGCCGCAAGGTCGTCCGCTCCGTCCAGCGCCACCCCCTCCTGCTCGAGGTCTACCGCCACGCCGACGGCAAGATGTGGCTCGGGTTCACCGCCCTCATGGAGGAGCTGCTCGAGGAGGAGAGGCGGATCGCGGACTCGATGGAGGCCGACCGGGTCGACAGGGTGCGTAGGCTCCTCATGATGTCTGCTGACAAGCGAATTGCGTTGAGTAAGATTCATCACTGCCGGTCCCTGTTCGGGATTCCTGAGGATTTTAGGGATAGGGCTTTGAAGTATCCGGATTATTTTAGGGTGGTTGTGGACGGCGATGGGAGGAGAGTGCTTGAGCTGGTGAACTGGGACCCGCATTTGGCGGTGAGCGAGCTCGAGAGGGAGTTCTTGGCCGATGAAGATGGAGTGAAGAAGGCTTTTCGATTCCCGGTAAAGCATAACAGGGATTTGGATTTGGACGCCGACGATACGAGGAAGCTTAACCTGTTGAACACGCTGCCGCTCGTTTCGCCTTACTCGGACGGGGCGAGTTTGGATTTGTGGACCCTGGAGGCGGAGAAGTATAGGGTCGGTGTGTTGCACGAGTTCTTGAGCTTGACTTTGGAGAAGAGGGCGTCCATACACCACATCGTCGAGTTCAAGGAGGAGTTTAGCTTGACCAAGCATACTTACCAGATGCTCTTGAAGCAGCCCAGGACTTTTTATTTGGCTGGAACGGAGATGAACTGGGTAGTTTTCCTGAAGGATGCTTATGATGAGAGCGGTGTTCTGATCAGGAAAGACCCACAGGTGCTGTTCAATGAGAAGTTATATCAGTATGCTGGAATGACGAATATGGAACCAGGGATGAGGATATAGATGACCGGATGAGGTGTTGTGACAGCTTTGGAATTTTGAGCATCGACCATACGGCAGATGGAGAGCAATTCCTCGATTTGAACATTGGAAGGATGGTAGCAGGTGCCATTCCCCTTCTTCTTGTGGCAGTGAGGACTTTTCACTGTCAAGCTTTCGATTTCATAGTTTATGCCCGCGTAATGTCATTGAGGAAGGTCTTATGGACTGTCTCGCAGCGGATGGTCTGTTTAGTGGCAGAGAGATCTCGACAAGTTAAGAATTGGTCATGTAGATGAAGTTCCTTAAAGATTTTCTGGATGCTCATATTTAACGAGGATGTCTTTGGAGGTGTCCACAACAGTGTGGGTGGACGTTGAAGCTTGTAACACCGCGAGTGCTTCACTGTCAACCTGATCTTTTAGAATGCCGACCCGGTCATTGAATTCACCTGCGGAACAACTTGTCATCACCTTTCTTCTCTTCAAATTTAAGCTGAGTTCATGGCATTATTTCAGTGAATGATATGGGCTCATCAAGATAATATTTGTCGGATTGACTGCTTCAGTCTCGTACTTCTCGGAATCCAGTTGTGACAACTTAGTGCTTTCATTTAGTTTTTGTCATAAGTTAGCAAACTAACTAAAATCTGTCTCCTCTTTTAGTCAGAGTTACCATATGTGTACAGAGATCCGAAGAGTAAAATGCAGATCGTGCATTAGTTGCATTAGGTCCTTCAATTGTTGCTGCTCACTGGTGACCTATCTTATTCAGATTGTTAATATAACTCGTTAAATCACTTGGAGGAAGATGAAGTTATTCAGAAAAGGTATGGGGTTCTTCCTTTTGCCAATTCCTAACTCTTTCTGGTTTTCACAGTTCACATGACGCTATGAGGGTTGGTTATGATGTTTGTCACTGAATATTCAACAAAGGATTGTTGTTGGAATGTGGCAAGGATAGCACGATTCACATCTAGAGTTGTATCCCGAAACTGTCTCGTGACATATTTGACAAAAAGCACCTTGCATCATGTACTTCGTTCAAATAATAAGTTTAGCATATCCTCCCTTATTTAGTTAATGGTGGTAGGTTCCCTCATCCAGCTAGGTTGTGGTTTTATCCTGTGCCTATGTGCTTCGGATTCGGGATCTTTACTGCGGTCTGTACTCTGTAGCTCACTTTTACGGCATTATTCCATTACAAGACTGTAATATGATCAGTTCTCCTCAGGTTTCTTGCATGCTGGTAGATGTTTCTTGTTGTGTTATCAGGATTGTTTGGCTGTGAAGGAGGCTCTTCTCGATAGGTCTCATCGAAATGCATATTCACAGATTGATCAGAAATTTCAAACGATCAGTGGTATCGGCTGGACTGGAAATGTAAGTAGTTGGAGCACCATTTTAAGTGGCAATGTTAGAAAATTCAAGCACTGAATATCAAGTGCTGATAGTAGAATGAAAAAGCTGTTTGATAGAATTAAAAATTAGTCACTAAATGAATTACATAACGCCTTTGTTACTTACTCTATAAAGTTCTAGGGCTACTACTGTTTAATGGTGCCAAAGTTCAGTGGGTTTGAGCAATTAACCTACAAAAGATGACCTCTCTGGAGAATCTAATGAATCATACACTCAATTCTTTTGGAGAGCCTAACTAGAAGGTTTGTTTTTTAAACCTAGTTAGGTTCTAGTTAGGTTGAGAGCCTAACCAGAAGGTTATCCACCTCTTTTCTATTGGACAATAGAGAGGTCCTTTTCTTCATCAAATAGTTGTAAAGCGAACAAAGATTAGGAAATTCACTATTATTGGCCGGGCTCTGAGATCAAGGCTAAAGCGTAGCCCAATCAGCTCATAACGTGAATGCTATGCATAAAATTACGAGATAAGCGCACTGAAAGTCCTATAACTTATCATGAAAGTACAATTGAGTTCTAAAATTTTCAAACAGTGCAATTGAGTCCTAAAACTTGTCAAGTTTGTGCAATTAAGTCTTAAAACTTGTTAGCATTTTTCGTTTTTTCAAATTGGACGAAATTAAAGGAAGGATTTGATCGCACTAACTTGATAAGTTTTAAAATTTGATTGTATTTTTAGAAAGTTTTAGGATTTAATTGCACTTTCGGGACAAGTTTTGAGACTTTTAGTACATTTATCCCTAAATTTTTTAAGCCTCCATGCGCCCAACGGACTTTATAACTAAAAAGCATGGGCAAATGTGGCTTGAGTTGAACTGTGGACCCATGGGTGGTTAGATCAATGATCAGGTTCAATTCACAAAAACAATTGTAAAACTAAGTTATGTAATATAAAATATTGCCTAAACTATTTTTTAAAGTAAAGAGATATAAAGAAAGATAGCCTTGTACTTTCGTGAAATCTTACTCATTTTTTCCCTCATATATATATATAATGTGTCCGTGGATAAATGCGTAATTTCAGAATTTATCTTATTTCTCATATTTTTCGATATTAATAGTTGGATTTTTTTATTTGTCTTACAGTGTCTTTATAACTAGATTACAAATCTCTAAATTTCTCTTTGCATAAACATTTATACAATTTCTTCGTATTGTGTCTTTTCATCAATAATTTCTATTCATCATGTAATAACTTAATATTTCGTAAATTAAATAATTTTGCTTAATCTTTTGAATATCATTTTCTTATGAGCACGTTGCTAGTGAATGATTAACCAAACGATCAGCTAAAAGCCGTTAATCGATGAGGGTGACAATGATTGACAATGTCAAGTTCCCCCACTCCACGTTATTGGTTGCTGAATAGTATATGCGTATTCCTTTTCAAAGGACGGAAAAAATATTTTCCAGTTTTTTTCATATTTCAATCAAATACCAGAAAATATTATCATTTTCCCGAAAAAATGACTTCCCGAGAAATGTAACATTTTATGTGAAGACAAACGGAGCGTCACGGAAAATGAACGATTTAGAAATATATTTTCTCAAAACGATTGCTCGTATTGCTCATAAAAATTAAATAAACGAAGAATATTTTCACCGTCCGCAAAAAAAAATATTTTGACATAAATTGTCGCTGATGGCGAAAATATTTTTTATTAAACAATTATTTCGAGCGATGCAAATAAATCATTTCAAGAAAATATCTTTTTAAATAATTTATTTTCAGCTAAATAAACTGAACCGAGCATGTATCAACCCGTGCGCCCAAGCACACTCACCAAACCAAACCGCAGCGTGAGACCAAATCCCACACCTTCCCAAACCGCCCCAAAGCCGAGTGCGATAGCGAAGCCCTCCCATCCTCTCCTCTCCTCTCCTCGTCGCTCTCCCCCATTCGTTTCTATCTCTCTCCCCCCCAAGGAAAAGAACCCACCAAGAAAAAACAAACACAAGAAAATTCCAACAGCACACACAAGAAGAAGAAAAAGAAAGGAGCATCAAATCCCCATCGTAAAATTTCCAATTTCGTGAAATTTTTCTTCCAAATTTCTCTCGTCCCTTCTCCTGGTGGTGGGTTAGCTGAACTGGCCATTTGATTCAACTGGGTCTTCGTCCTTTTTCCTTTTTCCTTTTCTTCTTCTTTTCTTTTGCCGGTTCTTTTTCTTGTTTTTTTTTTTTTTGTGGTGGTTCTTGGGGGGTGTGGCGTCGATCGGCTTGGGGGCATCTTTCTGGCCACGGCCATGAGGGTTTGGGCGGTGATGTTGGTGGCGTGGGCTGCCGTCTTGGATCCGGCCGAGGGCTCGCCGGCCGGCGCCGTCTGCGAGCGGGAGTCGCTCGCGGGATCGATCGTGGGGTTTGGGGATTCTCGCTGCTCGTTGGACGGTCGTCGTCGTCGTAGGGAATCTTTCCAGTTCGTGGGTGTTACCGAGGTACTAGATTGGGCCGTGCGTGTTCTTGTTCCTGTTCTTGGTTTTTTGTCCTTGTTGCTTTCTTGGATATCTCCTGTTTATTCTTGTTCGTGGAATTGCATAGGCGTTGGTGTGGGTTTTGTGTTTGAAAGGGTAGATTTTTGGGCTGGATTTTTAGTTGAAGGCTTTGGTTGGTTTCTACTGGATGCGAGTGACAGAGAATGGAGAAATGGGTTCTTTTCTTTGAACTATATGATCGATGTCCGAGCCAGTGCATGATTAGGGTGAAAAGTATAGCCAGAACTAATCTCAAGTTGGAGAGCATGAGAGATTGACTTTAGATTCTCGAGTTATGTTATTCAGGTTTTCTTGTTCAGCTAAGCTGAGATTTTGGTCCTCTTTTTTGGACTTTAATCTGAACTTCTAGGGTTGGTCCGCAGAATAGTGGATTGCCTCCATCTTTTCTTAGAAAGATAATAATTTTTGCCTTTTCCTTTTCCTTTTCCTTTTGGGTAATGCTGGAACAATGTTTATTTTAGCACTTCATTCTTTAAATGAAGCGAAACTAGAATCGCTGTAAAAATACTTCTTTACTGTCCTATGCATAGACTTTCAAGCTTATGAAGAGTCATGTCAAAGTTTGGTTCTTTGATATGAGTGTTGCTTCATGGAAGCATGTATGAGACTGAGCCTGACGAAACTGTATCAAGGGAAAAATATTCGGCAGAAACAAAGTGAAACTCAGGGGTTGTTTTTGCTTTTCCTGGTGAATACATTTTATTAAATTTTGATGAGGATTTTTAACTGTATTCTATGAAGGGTGATGAGCTTTCACTGCTAAGGGCACTGAGTATAGTCCACAAGAATAGTGAGGAGTACGTAGCTGTTCTTTTCTATGCATCGTGGTGTCCTTTCTCGAGGCTGATCAGACCACGTTTCTCCCTCTTATCCTCTTTGTATCCCTCCATCGCTCATTTTGCAATTGAAGAATCAGCTGTACGCCCAAGGTTTGTTCTGCCCTTAGTTTTGAGTTAGAGATTCATTATATGGTTTTTGAGAGTAAAGTTGGGTGTAATTTTGCAGCATCCTCTCAAAATATGGTGTCCATGGGTTCCCATTGCTTTTCCTATTGAATTCCACAGTTCATATACGCTACAGTGGCCCTCGGACCGTTGATTCTCTTGTGACTTACTACAATGTTGTCACTGGTATGTACCTCCTGCAGTGTCTTGTGCCGGTCCTGTTTTGATTCCTTTTTCATTCGTTTTACTCTGCATTGTGTGAATGATAGCAACTTGTGAGTACTGAGCTAAATAACTATCACTTTGCTATGTCACAAGTCAGATTGGTTGAGGTAAATATCAGTTTTTGATGGATTGAATAATATGGTATTTTTGCATGTGACCCTTTTGTTCGGGGTATATCTGCCTGGTTAAATGTGCCTCTTTTCCTGGTTGCATGTTGTGCATGCCTGTGTGTGTTCACGAAGAGTTGGAGGGGGTTTGAGATTGTGCCTTTTATGAGGCATCTTTCTCTTGCTAATTGATACAAGTATGCTGATTTGATTTTTGCCCTCAACCTCGGGCCAGGCCATCCATTTTAATGTTTCTGGTATTTCATTTGGACTTGCACGATTCCGTCAGAATTGTTATGGCTGCAACTGCATTTTCTTCATTTTTAAAAATAAACGTCAGCTGTTGTACATGAATGCTAGGTATGAAGCCTTTGACTTCGGAGTGGCCATCATTGGAAGAAATTAAAACTCCAAATTACGAGAAGCATGATAACACCGAGCCGGAAAGCTGCCCATTCTGGTGGGCAAGATCACCTGAGAACATGCTTAGGCATGAAACATATCTGGCTTTGGCGACCGCGTTTGTGCTCTTGAGATTGCTTTACTTCCTCTATCCGACTCTCGCCATATGCGTTCAGTGGGCATGGAGTAGGCACATCCAAAATATGGGTTTGCTGAGCATGTTGGGCCTTTTCCTGCCTTATCTTAAGCAGGCGACACAGCTATCAAAATCTATTAAAGAACCACGCAAGAGAAGCAATTTACAGGAAGGAGCGAGGAATGCTGGTGTCTGGGCTTCCAAATCCCTTGCTACCGTTTCAATTGGGGATGCAAGCACGAGCAGGAGTCACTGATCATTTTGTAAATGACGATGCTATTCAAGACTTTAGGTATGAAAAGTCGCCCGCGAGAACTCGGCAGCAGAACCTCGTTGCATAACTCATCTTTAGACACAGGCTAAGCATTAAATGCGGACAACTGATAATCTGATGATCGTTTAGATCACTTTGTATTCTTATTCCAGATGACTGGCATCCGGTCAGATTTGTATATTGATCTCCTTTCGAGGAAGTAGATTCTGAAGCTTCATTGTAGTAAAACATGATCATCATGATTGTTGGAGTAAGTCACTTTTTTTTTTTGGGTATTTGAGTGTTGTGTATACTACAATTGTTATGCAATAATTTGCATCTCACAGAATTCTGCTTGGAGTCAGATTTGTTGTATGACACTGATGTCCCGATCTCTTGTGATCTATGTTCTAGAATGTCTGACTGAAATGTGGCGCGACATTTCATAAAATTATGGACATTCTAGCCGACACTGAATTAAATTGCCTCTGGTGGATTGCTAATAATAAGCCGTGACTTAATGGGAATGAATCGCCACCCTAATCAAGTAATCAGAAAGATGCCTAGCTTTCCACAAGACAATACCGACAACATTTCAAGTGCATCAGGATATGCAGGTCCAAGGTTGTCCTCTCATTCCTCTGCAGATGCTTCTTTTCATGTGCTTTTGTTGCTTCCTCGTGTCATTTCCTCTAGAGGGCAACTTTACCTAGTACCAAGTATTGTTTAGGATTCGCATGTGATCTCTGCATTTACTTCCTTTCCAGACAAGAAACTTGATTGTCTTATTCATGGCATATATGTAGAGTAGAACACACTTTGCTAATGATAATTTGGGATAAAGAATGCCACTGCAATTAAGTTCATGACAGGTGACAGGTCCTCTACCCCGCCCCCAACAAAAGGAAATCTCTGACGAGGACATTCGCGCTGCATTAATCTGCTTCATAGATAAGTATCTTGATAAGCTTGACATTGAAATGCAAAACCACAGCATTAAGCCAGGGTACAGCCCCATATGAGTATAGAATCTTCCACAAGGATACAAAAAAAGGGTAAGAATGATATCATGAATCTACAGCTACTCTGTCCTTTAAATGGATCCTACTCCGCGTCTTCATAAGTGACATCTTTCTTCACAACCTGCCATGGCAACAAAATGCCAACATCAACAGAAAGATATGACAGGTCAAGAACCCAAAGAAAAAAGGCAGTAGAAAGAGAAAAAGTGGAAGGGCTTTGATATGATTTCATTCCATTCACCACCTAGTTTATCAGTGTAATTTCATATTATATAGGCAGACTAGGATTACTTAGTAGAGGTTTTTCTTCTTGTTTTCAGTGTAGGCATGTGTGGCACGCGCACTATTTCTTTGGGGTAGGGGGCAGGTGCTGTATATCCATCCTCCATGATATAGGTGAGACAAATGTTTCATATAAAATTTTCGCCAGTACCACCCTTACATCAACAAAAATCTCCTTTTTCACTCGGAGGATGCATAACATTGGAATGGGAAAAATTATGCAATGAAAAGGCTGCACTAGCAAATATGTTGAAGCTTTACACATCTTGCAGATTGTATGTTACTGGGACGACAGAGGCACGTCATCTAGAGATAAACAAAGAAAATCCCAAAGAGAGTCAGCTATGGCATATCCAGAGGTACCTGTGATATGTTTTCTTTGATCTTCTCAATAATTCTTGCATCTAATGCTCTCTCAGCAAGCTCGTACAATATCATACTACCTTCTGGACCAGTAACTTTGTCTTTCTGCAAATATCTAAAGAAGTATCTTAGATTAATGCATATTCTCTGGTTGACCGCACAGAAATTATTCTCCTAAACAATACTCAAACCTTTGCTGGACTAAAGCTTCCAATGCCTGCTTGACATTTCCGAATTCTTGGTGGTTTTCATCGGTTTCATGCAATCCTAGCCGTCTCAAATGGTGCCATAAATTATCTGCAATATCATTGCAGTATTATTAACCTTGAAATTCTGAAGAAAAAAGTAACATAACAGATCGCGACACTCATTATTTCTCTTCAAATAAGATTGCCGAAGCTGTGTAAACCAATAGCTGAATAGCATCTATTGGACATAGTATTTTGGTGCAGTGACTAGCAGGAGAGCCCCATCCAGAATATCAAAATGATCTCAACTTCGATAAAGAAATACAGAAAAGAGAATTGGGTTCGGAAAAAAGAGAACAGGTTTCATAATTGCATACTTTCATTAATCATTTTAGCACCAAAAAGACACGTTTAGGAATTGGAAAACAAACCTTCTGGGATTTTGCCTCCAGCAAGATGCACGATACTTATCACCACAAAAGTAAAACCAGACAGATGGGCTGTATTTACGTCCTCCACATACCTCCTATATAGTTCAGCAGGTAGCTGACTCATGAGGACATAGGATCTGCTGTCTGCAGAACCTGAAAAAAGAACATGAAATCTGGTCCAGTTATAACTGAGTTAACAGAAAACAAGTTTTCAAAGCAAATAGACCAAAAACAGCAATGCAGAACATGGCTATATCACAGTGTCCCATCATGATAAAGACGAATTAAAGTGTCGAATAATCCAAATTATAAGAAAAACAAAACTCTCCATGTAATTTAATGACTAAATCCATCATGCATTTGCAGCAAGAAATTCAAACTATATAACACAAACTAGCGAAAGATAAAAACTAAATGACACAATTCAATCCCATCAGCGAATTCAAAACGAACCAGTGTTTTTCGTGACAGGATTGCCCTAACCCAAGAGGTGCCTAGTAAGTAAAAGAAAGTTCCAATTCGGCTCTTTCTGTACCCAAATAAATCAGTTCACGAAAGATTACACTGATCATGTACATACGCTGCAGGTGGTGGCCAAACTCAACATCACAAGCATTACCATCTAGATGTTCCTCCTCAGGAAACACACACAAGGGTCCACAACAACAACAAGAAGCAACCAACTTTACTTGATTGAGAAGACCGGGTCTGGTTAGTCGAAGGGCGCGATTTCTGGAGCTCCCTCATCTCGTACCCGAAAACGCTCGAGAGCTTCTCGCGGGCCTCGTTGATGACGAGCGCGGGCAGGTTCCGGTTCCGGTAATTCCGAGTGACCAACTGAGTGAGCTCCTCTCTCTTGATCGGACACCCCGAGTTCTGGTGAGTCTTGAACAACGCATAACGCATCACTTCCCCCACAAGCTTGTCCTTCTCCTGTTTCGACAAGAAACACGAAAATTTACTCGGACACCACACGGCTTCCTCGGACGCGAGTAACCCAGAAATCGAGAGAAGAAAAAAGAGAGGCAGGCAGACAGACAGACAAAACATTACCTCCTTGGAAATGTCGAATTGAGAGAGATCGTATCCGGCACTGGCCATACCGCAGCAAAATCGCGACTTTCCGGGGGGAGGGTTTCGGCCGCCGCTGCGCGAACTGATTCTCGAGAGGGGTTTTGAGCGGTGAAGAAGAAATTCAAGATTCGAGTGCGAATGAGAACAGCAACACAACACGGAGCTGGTTGCAGCTAAGGGGACGACGGAAATCAGCTGATTTTGCTGCTGCTCAAGCGTCGAAGGGGCTAGGGAAATCGGATTTGAATTCGAGCCCTAGCTCCTCCGTCGCAGCGCGGGAAAACGATCATCCGTCGCAGAGAGGCCAATGTGTGTATGCTCAAGAAAGGACCCCGAATCGCCGCCGCAGACCGCCGGCACGAGCGCCGAATCCCGGTGGCCCGACGGCGAGAAACAACCCGCGCCGAGAGAAGCGCGGCGAAGTGATCGTTTGGCGCAGCACGTGCGGACGTCGGAGCTGTTGACCACGCCGCGACGAGAGTCAAAACTGAAAACTGAACATGAAGGGTATGATTAGTAACGTTTCGGTTCCTAAAAATAATTTCTATTTAGAAATAATTTTTTACTATTTTTATTTTATAGACGAGTTTTAATTATACGAAATTTACATTAATAAATACGTTTGGTAAGCCTTCCAAAATAAAGGGAACGGCTTCGCATAACAGTTTTTAACTAGCGTGAGGATTACAAATTCTTAAAAGATGAACCCTACTACAACTTTTAAGTATTTATTATTTATTTGCTTGCGTTCCAAAATAAGCTATCCATCTCGTAGTTAATTAAAGACGGTCACATCCGCCGTCGACAAATAAAGGAAAAATAGAGAAACAAAAATGATATTAAACATGCCCTTACAAATTCTTAAAAGATGAACCCTACAATAATTTTTAAGTATTTATTATTTATTTATTTACGTTTCAAAATAAGCTATCGATCTCACAATTAATTAAGAACCATCACATCTACCGTCGACAAATCAAGAAAAAAATGACAAAAATATATCTGAATTTTTAATTTGTTTAACGTGATTTTTGAATCATGAACTTTAAATTATTCAATATAATCCCTGAACTTTCGATACATGTTCAACTTAAATTCCGAATTATATAAAAGTGTTTAATGTTGTCCTTCCGTTAATAAGTCAAAAGTCCGGAAAATTACCAAAAAAGTCTTAAACCTTTTGTAATTGTGTTAATTGATCCTAAACATTTTTTTATTGTTAAATAAATTAAAAGTTCGCCGGCCATGGCGAGCCGACCTCGATGGGCATCGCCGCCATGGCGAGGTCGAGCTCGCTGCGTTAAGACCTCGCCCGGCGCGACGAGGCCTCGCCGTCGGCAGGCCTCGCGTCCCGGGCGAGCTCGACCTAGAGTTAAGAAGGAAAAAATTAAATAATGCCACGTTAGCTTCGCGTTGAGCAAATTTAAAAGTTAAGGGAGATATCATATTTAATTATCGCAAAATCCACGAACACATGAATTAAAGCATGGATTACATTACCATTAGGCTAAAGAATCATTAAAATTTATGGATTATTTTATGGAACATGTATGGTTCTCCAACGATCAAAAGAGCATGACTAGGCGTTCATCCAACGGTGGGGCTTCTTCACCTAAAACACGCCCCAAAAGGCAAACCGCCCAATTCCACGGCCAAAGAACCAAGGCTGGCCGCTAGCTCTCGACGCACGAAAACCACCATCCCGAATCCAACGGCCACCACGGAGTGCAAAATTTTCCCCCTTTTCATCTCTTTAATTTCCCAATTTTTTTTTCGTCTTTTTTCGCAACCAGAGAAACGCAGCCAGAGCTAAAGAGAGCCGGTTACCCTCGCCCCAAAAAACCAGCGAGAGAACACATTTCCGTCACACAACACGCAGCTCACAGAGGTAGAGAGAGAAGAGAGAGAGAGCGAGAGAGAGAGATGGAGAGGGAGAGAGAGCAGCAGGTCTACTCGGCGAGGCTCGCGGAGCAAGCCGAGCGATACGACGGTTAGCTTCCCTCCTCCTCTTCTTCACTCGAGCACATCACGCGCTACTCGCCATTCGATCCGTTTTCCTCTTTTGCCGGATCTCCCGTGCACGGGATCGTCCTCTAGCTTCTCCTGCGGATCGGAGCGCTTCCGCGGATGCTTTTTTCCCGGCGTGTTCCGTTGTGGCTGGAGTTTCGTTGCGAATGCGCGAGTTCCGTTTCTGTTCCTTTCTTTGCTTGTGAGGTTGAGGTTGTTGTTGTTGTTGTTCGTCTGCTTTAGGTTTAGCTAGCGGGCGCGCGTGGGTGCTGGATTGGATGGCGTGTCGATTCTTCCGGCAGGGGAATCCGTGGCGGGCGGCCGTCCGTCCGTCCGTCCGTCCCCGCCGCGCCGCTAGGGGTAGCTTTTGGCTGATCGGACGTCGGCCGGCGGCCGGCGGGGAGGTTTTTGCGGCCTTTTCGTTTTTTTTTCTTTTTTGAGTCTTCTTCTAGGGTTCTCGTCTCCTCGCCGCGTGACCTGTTGCCGGAAGCCCCCCCCCCCCCCCCTCGCGTGGTTTCTCCATTTCGTGCGGTGATTCGTCGTCTCGGTTTCGTTTGCGAGCGTTGTTGCCTTGTTATGGGATGGAGTGTAATGTGAGGCGAACGGCTTTAGATACCTGACGAACGATTATTGATGGGGTTATTATTACTTTGCGAAGGCTACTGCATGTCCTCTTTTAAGATTTTGGTAAGCTCGTGGATTGGGAGGAGTCGGCGAACCCCAACTTCTCTCTGGGATGGTCTTCGTAGATATGCCCTTTTTAAATAGACAGTTGATCTACTGAAAGGCAAAGGAAGAGATGATAACTAGGATTTTATGTTCTCCAGACAAAAGTTATCGTCTTACAAATGATGGAACGCGCCCGAGGTTTCAGTTAGATTACCGGTTTTGCTTAAACAACCAGATCCCTCTTTTGCAATATCTTTATTTAGGGATTTCATTTCACCAATAAATGTATAATTGTGAGTTGTGAGGTCTCTTATTTGTTTCACCCCCTTTTGTTGCAGAGATGGTTGAGTCGATGAAGCAAGTGGCTAAGCTAGATGTGGAACTGACTGTTGAGGAGCGAAATCTGTTATCTGTTGGGTATAAGAATGTGATTGGTGCGAGAAGGGCATCGTGGCGGATTTTATCTTCCATCGAACAGAAGGAGGAGGCCAAGGGCAACGAGCAGAATGCGAAGAGGATAAAGGACTACAGGCAAAGGGTTGAAGATGAGCTCATGAAGATCTGCAGTGACATTCTCTCAGTCATTGATAAGCATCTTATCCCATCCTCCTCAAGTGGAGAATCAACTGTTTTCTACTATAAGATGTGAGGAATTCTCCATTTAAGCTCCCTCCCCTTCCGTGTCTCCATGTCACGTGCTGAAAATGAAGGTCAACTGGGCTGTAACAGCACAGTGAAAACATGGTTATGATGCATGGAATCAACCAAGCACACATGAGGGAAACCTGGATACGCTGGGGGGAAACATGGGAATATGTAGATATACACACATTTATTCATAATTTTTTCTCTTGCCATGTGTAACGCACCGACCCCTGTATTGCATGAGCAGAATTGGAAATTTCTGGAGCTAAAAAGGTGACTGATCTTTGGACAGTGGCAAGGATAGTCATTTGCGATTTAATACCTTTTGACTTCATGTTACAATGTCCGAAGGAAACAGTTATTTTGATTCTTATATTTATCGACACTATGGGTTCGATTATGTATCTTCTGTTTTTAAGGCTGGCAAAGTGCATACTGGGATCCTTCTCCCTAAGTGATAGCCAATGAACCAGATTTTAGAGTTTCCTCGTCATGTTTTCATTGGGTTGTTGACTTGCAGGCTATAAATAGTTTCTTTTTCTTCTAATGTTTATTGTTTCCTAATTTGGCAGGAAAGGTGATTATTATCGTTACCTTGCTGAATTCAAAGCTGGTGATGACCGCAAAGAAGCTGCTGATCAGTCGCTTAAGGCATATGAGGTGGGTGCTCCTCTGTGTGGTTCATAAAGTCTGAGGCTCCTGTTGGTTTCATTTGTCTCATTCGTCACTGTTTCCTCGGTTTTTTCCATTTTCCATCCTCTTAAAATGAAGTGCCTATTTTTGGCTCAATATGCAGGCTGCCAGTTCCACTGCTTCAACAGATTTGCCTCCAACTCACCCTATCAGACTTGGACTGGCTTTGAATTTCTCCGTCTTCTATTATGAAATCATGAACTCGCCAGAAAGGTTGATGTGCATGCTTCTTTGAATCTGTGTGTTTCTTGGGCATATTTTTGCTGCATGTGCATACGTGATGGCAGGGCTAGCTTCTATATTTGTGGAAGCAATAGCGTGGTCGAAGAAGCATGGGCTCACACATTCAGAAGAAACAAATTTTAGTTTAGATAACTGAGATCTAATTCTTTGACGGGCAGGGCATGCCATCTGGCCAAACAAGCTTTTGATGAGGCTATTGCGGAACTCGATAGCCTAAATGAAGAGTCCTATAAGGACAGTACTCTCATTATGCAGCTTCTTAGGGACAATCTTACGCTATGGACCTCAGATTTGCCCGAAGAAGGAGGTGAACGTCTCGTCAACCCCTCCCTTTTGTAGAATGTCGAATTCTTGCAGTCATAAACTAAATGGATTGGCAATACCAACTTTTCTAGACGATACGGCCATATTTAGGTGGCTAAAGAACTGTAACGGTAGTTGAGCTGTTAATGATATCAGGAACCACTGCATTTTAAGAGGACTATTTTCTCAGGAGGGGTCTTATTGCTTTGTTAACATGGCAAAAGAATCGATTTTTGAGGACCTGCTTGTCAATTGAATATCCACGACTTTTTGTCTCTTGGACTGTTTTGATGGAGAATATCTTCCTGCAGTTATTCCATTTGCAACATTCTCTCTTTCTTAAATATTATACGCAAGATATTCCTGTTCATAGATTTCTATATCCGTTTTGCTAGAAAATGGGTTGTTTATAAAACATGTCTCTTCTCAAGCTTTTGATCTGGTACCCAAGCATAACAAATGTGTTAACCTTTTTTTTCTGAAATTGACAGGCGAGCAATCTAAAGTTGTTGAACCTCAGGCAGAGGTAAGGAAGTCATACACATGCGCAACTTATCTTTAAATTATACGCTCTTGAAAATTTGGTGCTGCTTTTAGTATATATTTATTTGTCACTTCTCATGTCGGAGGTGACAGAGCTTTTAGTACATTTCTGTGTTTATGCCGCGTCTCTTAAACTTTTATGCAGAGTTAATTGGGCAAAGTAGATGATTCCTGATGATTTCAATTCTTTGGGGGACATTGAGGCTGGCAAGGGCAGGAGTCATGGTCTTGTGTGATGGTGCAGTTAGTAGACTGTTGGTCTGTATTTACTTGTTCAACAGAATGCTTCTCCACGGTATTGTGTTGTTTGTGCTTGTGACACGATTGAATTCTGCTATCTTTGTTCTTTAAACAAGGAGGCCTTTTCTCAGATTGTTTGTATCTGTGGAGTGAATGCCATTGTGAATCCAGAATGGTAAAATATTACATGAGTTAGAGGAGAATGGAAGATGCCGTCTTGTATACAATTCATAACCGATTCTTTTCCTTGGATCTGTGAGGGATTGCCTCCAGATAAATGCACCTTAGGGTCACGAATGGATCATAAACCAAAGAATTGATTCGAATGGCCTGTGGATGTCCTCGGCACAATTAGTCCATGCTTGTGAAGGAGCATCTGTTGTCTTCGTCTTCGGATCACTACCACTATCGCTTGTTCTCTTTTCTGTAGTGCATTTCTCACTTTCAGAATCCGGTGATGAGCTTGCTGGAGGAGGCTGCTGATCAACTAGGAACGTCTTCAACAGCTTGTAGAACTCTTTTCTGTAGTGCGTTTCTCACTTTCAGAATCCGGTGATGAGCTTGCTGGAGGAGGCTGCTGATCAACGAGGAACATCTTCAACAGCTTGCAGAACTCTTTCGGTTTCTCCACGTTGAAGGCGTGTCCTGTATCCTTGACGACCACGACATGCGCATTGTCTCCTATATGCCTACGGTAAGAAAGACTCGGGGGGTTCAGCCCGAGACTAAACTCGCAATAGTGTTAGTTGGAGAAAGATTTTGGAGAGATGAAGGGAAAACTTGCCTCTTTAGCCTGTGACCCAGCTGTAATGGGAAGACATGGTCATGCTCTCCCCAGATTATCAACGTGGGCTGCAGTATCAATTGGCACGATTACGTTTATGCAACTTTCTAATGCGCGGGAGCATTAACAAGAACCGAGAAGGTAAAGACAATAAGGAAAAGGGGAAAGAAGTATAACCTGGGTGATTTTTGGGATTTCGGAGATTTTACGATTCCTTGGGATTGCTCGAACCAAGTCTCTCTTCTCTTCAATGTAATCAGCGCACATTGCCTGTCGATATCCGCGCACGTAAATTTTCAGGCGAAGAAGAACGACAGATCCACGACCCATAGCGAGGTAAGAATCTCAGTTCGCGCAATGCCTTCATCAACATATCTTTAAACAGCATGATATTCGCGTGCTAGTATATCTAGTGCGACTGGCTGCTACGCTTGACCTGCCGGCCAGCTGCAACTATCACTGTCCTAATTAAGCTTAGAGCCCACCTACTCGATCGAATATATCACCTATTGCTCGGGCACTGTTCTGTCTTTATCATCGACCGATGCTACTCTAGTGCTCTCCCTCCATAGCAAATGAACACCTTATCCTTCCACCACCAAATTTGGTACCTCAGTAATAAGTGGGTCGCACCGTCTCTCGTTAAATCGTGAATTCTACACATGCAAATTGCAATATGGACACTAGATTGATTAGGCACTACCTGCAGCTGAAGATCAGATCTAGAAAACGAATCCCGCCAATTCATCCACAACCACAACAGAAGAGGAAGACATTGACACACTTAACCGAGTGCTGGTCTTGCATGAGATAAAGAGAGAGAGAGTCTCACATCAATGAAATCACTGAGCAAGCAAGAAGGAATCAGCCCGAGAGGAGGATGCCGGGAGAGCGTGTAGCCCATCAACTCCCTGAGCCTCGCCGGCGTATGCGGCACGAGGATCGTCACCGCCTCCTCCAGGTCACTCACGCTCAGCACCCCCTCCTTCAAGTCTTTCTCCTCTATGCACACGGCGGCGCAGCATATCACCAGCCTCTCCACCGCCACCGCCGCCTCCTCCTCCATGGACTGCGCAGCCATGCTGTACCCTACAAAACCCCCATAGCTCAGCCCCACGAGGCTCAGCCGCCGCACCGAATGCGACTCCATGACCCGCATCAGGCACCGCGCCTAGGAAGGGCTCATTCGTTACATTTATGGAATCAGATTTTGATAAATTCGAACATGATGAATCTAAAACAATTGCACAATCAAATATACAGCAATCAAACATCCACCCTAAAAGCTAAAGTCTCTAGAAGGGCCGATAATGATTCCACGATCAATCTTTATTTACTCCTCCATCACGATCAATCCTCCCTCTATAGTCCCAAGGCAAAATCAAAGCCTAAACGTGCTCCGTGTCGGTTCCAAGTTATCAAATTTAAAACTCTTGCACCCGCAACGTTCTCTAGAACTCTTAAAGACATCTGAATCTTCACACGACGGGAGGAAGGGACGGGGGTCGATGGTATTTACCTGGAAGGAGTCGGAGCGGTCGGGGCGGGAGGTGGAGGAGTCGCCGAAGAAGAGGAGGTCGGGGATGAAGAGGTTGAAGTGAGGGGCGAGGTGGGGGAGGACGTCGGCCCACTGCCAGAGGGCGTTGGCGCCGAGGCCGTGGATGAGGAGGAGGTCGGGCTTGGCCGGGGATCGGGCCTTGGGGACCCAGCAGTGGACGACGGTGCCGCCGCCGTCGCGGAGGTCGGTGAGGGCGGAGCGGAGGCCGGACTTGGCGAACGCGAAGCGGTAGCACCAGTTCCTGGACTCCGTCAGGCTGAAGCACCGGCGGGACATCTGCGACGACGCAGCGCGCGTGCTCAGCTGCTGCTGCTGCTGCTGCTTCCTGTGGCCGGAGGAGAGAGAGAAGTGATTGAAATGCAGAAGAAGAAGACGAAGACGACAGACATTCTGGAACGTTGTGGTACACGTGGGCAGTCGCGGTGTGTGACGAAGCCGAGAGGTAAGTACTAAATAGATAATTCCCTAACAATCATATGTCTTATGTTAAAATAATAGGTCACTTTTTCCTCCTCTTCTGGGTGGTTTTTTTTTTTAAAACTTATTTCTCTAATTAAATGAGTTATAATCGTAGACATCACTCGCTTTTAGTTTTAGTTAAGTTTGCGTGCGAATGATGTTCGTAGCTTGTGACTTATAGCTTGTGACTCAATAATCAGATTAGTGGTTCGAGGAGATTTACTTCAATCTGAGACGGAGAACATATAAGCCTTGATTAAGCTAGTGTATCGGTTGATTTTTGTAAAATCATGCTGAATGTTAAATACGAATTGTTGCTTAAAACCCTATTTATAATCCGTCACATCATATTTCGTCCGATGGATAATTGCACGAGTGGCATTCTCCTTCTCGAATATTTTCCACCTATCGAGTCAATAATGTATTTACGGTACATGACTGAACACTTCTCTTCGCATGTAAGCTGGTACTACACGCGCAATTGTGGACGGAACAGCACTAATAACGATATAACATTCCAATAGAAATTAGCAAGAGTGTGCTAGGTTTCGAACGCTTGATCCGTGTTCTGCTACCATGTCGGAAAAATCGTTTTTTTTTTATAAAAAAAAGATGAAGACATCAGTAAACAAGCCAATAATATGCGGCCAATGAAATATTTATAGCATATGACCAGACATAGTTAAGAGGCGGGGGTAAAGATCACCATGGTATAGTTTGGTTTCGATCGATTAGGAAATGCACCGGACACACATTTCTTTTGTTGTTTCAGCTAAATCGAATGTATCTAACTCTATCTCCTAGATGTGATCCATAAGCAATGACCAATATGGAAATATTGCAGTGACAAAGGTCCAAATTGGATGAAGATCTAAGCTCTTTTCAATACGCAATTAATCGACCAACTCTATGCATCGATCTCTTCTGTGCAGTCAAGTCTTGGGGCTGTTGAGTCGGTGAATGGTAGCAATTCAAAGAAGAATTCATGTTAGATCATCTAACATGAATTCTTCCATTATAGATCAGCACTCACCTACCATCACCATCAGCCCCCAAACGTAGCAAGTCTTTGCTGAATGGCTAGCCCGAGTAGCTAACACGTCGTTTGGATGCGGCGGATTCTGCGTAATAATTGCAATGTCTTCTGCTCACGGGGATTTGCGTGCATCCGAGGAGATTAGTCAACCCAAAAAATTCGAATGGCTCACGTTATCTAGAAAAAGGGTGTTCCAGTGGTCTGCCTGCACAATTCAGCTTGCATTGATAACTGCGAAAGTGAAGTTTGGCTTGTTCACCTGTTTCTCTGTTCAGCTCAACCCCACGCAAATATCAACTAGAATTTTTCCATGACATAACACCCTTAAAGTACGCATCTTGCAGACCTCAGATCTTTATGAGCGACCATTTCAGCCTACCAAAACCGTTGGAACGACAAGATGTGATGAGAGGGAAGGTGGACAAGTGCAGGTCCTTTAAGGGGCAATCCCAGCTGTAGATTTAAGGAGCCAGGCCCACATTGTCCCCAGGAGAATGCAATCATATGTGGGCATAAGTCAAAGTTCCAATTTAAGCAGAAACTGGTCCGTAGAAGCTACTAACATGCCTTCCGCTGTTAGAATTTCGAGTTGAACACCTCAAGGACCAGTTGTAATCTATCAATGCCTGTCTATCTTCATGAACATTATACGCCAAGCCTTGAGAGAATTTTGGTACTTTCGGAGCATTGCTGGCTGCAAGCTCTATCAGAATACATTTGATCGAACGAAAATGGGGCAGCTCATAACAGTTGAAGTTCGGAGATTGGTTGGATAGATGGTCATGTAATCAGATTGCATCTAAACTTCCACTCCAAAAACGGTTGGATCTGTATTGCTTCCCAGAGTCTTTTTCTTCCCCTCTCCTTTTCAGGCTCGTTGTAAAAACTTAACTGTAATCTGCTGAGGAATCTCCAATTCATAGCTGCAGTCTGCTTCAAACAATGTAGCTAGAGCAAATGGGAAACCGGTTTTTCAAAAGCTTAAATTATCAGGAAGAGGACCGACAAAGTAAAGATAACCAACAAAGAATAGACAGCATATTCGACAAACAGTCAAGTAAACGACTTGAATTTCAGATTTGAAGGAGACTTTCCCAATACAAATATGACAATCAGAGGAACATCTATTAGTCCTTCAATCACAAGCAAATACAAGTCTAATCCTCCGGACAAAATCTGTCCTCTTTCCTAGGTTCAGAAATATGCAACAGATTTAAAAAAGAAAAGGAGAGAAATCCTCCGGCACCAGAACCAACTTCACCATAAAATAAAGAATGTAATATACAGCAGAAACCTTTCTGCACCTGCTTGATCCCTTGCCAATTCCGCACCCTTCAAGAGATTGGCAAAAGGAGCTAATTGGGCCGAGAATACGATCCACAATCACTTAAATCATACCAATCCTTCACAAACAGTGAAAATCTCTCATCTGTTGGTATGTACTGAAGCTGCCGAGCAGTTTAATATCAGACTGTATCAACCTCTAAATCTGACGACTACACAAGATATGTCATCTCGGCTGTCCCTTCTCAAAGCTTCCGCAGTCAACTCTTTAGCTGCCTTTTCTGGATCTTTGATCCTTCTAGCAATATCAACTGCCTCTTGATTATTCATCACCTGAATCAACAATGTCCCCGAATCAATAAGAATTTAGCTCTCAACTGATAAGTCAACTCAACGGAGAATTTTCAGGTGTCGACATTTGTAATAATTCTTTGTTATCTAATGCATTATTATTTGTAAACTTGCCTTCCAAAGACCATCACTTGCAAGGATTAATACATCCATATTGACATCCACATTGACGATTCTAACGTCAGGGTCCGAGCGTAAATGTGACTTCAGGCTCTTGTCTCCAAAAGCACGAGAAACTGCCAGCTGTCCGTTAACTCTAGGGACATCCCCTGGTAGAGTGAAAATTTAAGCTAAGGATCTCTGCAATATCCAAGCTCATTTGTGCCGTAGAAGAATCATCGAATGTAAAAAGGTACCACTTTATTCAGTTGCAATTTAACAAGGAAAATATAAGAGAGATCAAAATAAGACAAGTGCTTGCAAGACATGAGCCGGATCCCTTTGCATTGTCAATTACGCATGATTCACACACATTCGACACTCATATGATCACACGACAATCGAAACTGTTGATAAGACCATTTCACTCTACTTATTTCATAATGATGAATACTACAATCTCCAAACTCAAATTCGATGATGTAGATGTGGTTCCATTCATCATGCTTTCAAGTCCAATGAAAAATAGATTGTCAAGCACCGCTATCAATGTGACTGAGTAACATCCAGATGGAATATAAAGGCTTGACGCTTACACTTATCCCAATATCACAAACCTATGACATTACTGCTATAGTCTCTCTTTTTTAGATACATGCCACTGTACATCTTATGCTCAATAACTAGCTATTCCAAGTTACCAAAATCAATACCGAAGGTCAAAACTTATAGCAAACTACAAATACGAAACACAGAAAAGGCACAACATAAATTCGATTATCAAAACAAGGCAGCTAGATCCATTATGCTATCAGTCTTTATTTGTGAAGTGCATGGCCCGCAGTAGCCATGCTCCGAAAATAGTCCTTCAACCGCAGTGGGTGTCTCTAGCAATAAAGCCGTCAGCAGAAGCCAAGAAAATCCCTATTTCAACACAATCTTCACCGCACATTGGAATAAATACAATTCTTCATCAGACTTATAATCGTGCCGAAAACTTGAATAAGCCATCAGCAGGAGGCCATCGGTATATGTAGAAAGCACCAACTAGAACAGATAGGCTCAGGCAATGTATCAACTTGTGCACTTGCAACTTCGTCTACGCAGTTCATGGATGAGTATGAAATGCAGCGTGAACAGAGTAGAAAAGTTAAGCAAGTTCCAAGGTCGTACAGACACAAATTGAAGCAGCCTAAACCATGAAAGGAAAATCATGGATTGATAACTGAGACATCAAGCTATCATGCCAAGTGGCAGAGTAGTCCAAAATATGTTGAGCCTGGAAGGAAATTAGTCTACACAAACTTACGAGTTAATGGACAGCTTCTAGTTTGGATACCCCAGCACAGCAGGCAGCAAATGTAACTTCTAGCTCTTCACGCATATGCTTAAGATTACAACTACTATAAGTATCTCTCTCATGAAAAATTCCCTATATGCAGTAACAGGCTATCATGAATATACCAAAGAGCATGAAGGTCTAGAGCGTGCTTTAGAATTGTCGCCAAGCAATTGCTCTCTTTTGTCCTAAAAGCATACAACTGACTCTGTGAAGTGTTGCTGAATCAATATTTGGGTCTCGACTAGTAAGTGAAGATTAAACAGACACAACAGCAGCCTGAGAAGCTGGTTGTTTTCTTCATCAGCTCTCTGCAGGCCAAGAGAAACAAGTAGAAAGCAGCACATGCCTAGGGTTGATTGTTATGATATCCCAAAAGAAGAAGTTACTCCCGCATCGTCGTTTACTATTCCATTGTACTCCATTCTAGCTTCGGTTCATGAAGCATGGAAAGACATGCCATCTTCTCATTCTTAGAGAAAAAGGTTCTAGATGAAATTTTCTACAACTCCAAAGCAGCAGACATCTGCTAATTCAAAATGATAAAACAGGAGCCTTCAGAAACTAGGCTCAAGAGATTCAAGTATTTAATTTGTTTTCATTCGTGGAGATTTGAATATTAATTTTTCTTCACAAACTGGGAAAGCAACTAAACATATTAAAGTATTCCTCAGTGCAATCAATAAGGACAGAGTTATTCCTCCTTGAAATAAAAAAACACATTAATTGATTAGGACATTAATAAACACAAATTGATCTTGCATATATCACCCCAATCAAAATCAGCTAGACTAACAACAATCAAAATAACTGTTTCCTATTAGAACCTCACGCGAACTGATTAATATGCACAAATTCCCATGCCTTTTGAATTTGACCAGTCTCAGTAAAGTTTCTTTTGGAACAAGAAGCTCCAGATAGTTTCCCGCTCGAGTTTCATGAGATTTGTAACAGCGCAATTTAGAAATTAGGAGATTTTGCATGGTGGATTCGGTCATGAATACAGCATAAATGCCTTAAATCAAAATATTCTAAGAACCAAGAAGCTAATCATTGAGAGATTTTGAGCCATCAATTGCTTATGAAAGCATCATTTAAGCATACAGGAAAAAAAGCACATCTTGAACCATGAACAGCAAGGTTGCTAGGAGAAACCTGGCATGTTCGAGACAAAGCCACCTCTATGTTCAATGCTCCCTCTTTCTGTACTGGGTTCATGATCAATACTCATCTGTAGAGCTCGACCCCCTCTTGAGAGAACTGCTCGTGAATCTCCAACATTAGCAACCAATAGTCGTTGGCCATTTATCAGTATTGCCGTCACAGCAGTCGAACCACCACGTCCCAAGTCTGAACTACTGGAGAGAATCGCCTCGTCTGTCTTCTCATAAGCTTTCGAAATAGACTTATTAGGGTCGACCCAGAACTCTTCCTGTAAGGTCGATGTTGAACAAGTAAAAGAACTAAGGATTGTGAGTGTGAAATAGCAAGAAACACGTAATATTAATCCTATTAGAGTCCGATCACTACAACCCACCTCCTTTAAGATGTTGGAAAACAAATGCTTTTGCAGGTACATGGGGACCTTGTCCCCCAAATGGCCATCATATATAGCAAAAAGCCCCAACTCATGCCCTTTCTTTTGCATGAACTTGGCAACATGATAGTCCTCCATGGGATGATTGGCTTTCCCTTTTACTAGGCTGAAACCATACTTGATCAGCCCTTCAATGTTTCTTCCTTTACCAGAAGCAGAGGATTGAACTCCTGCACGCTAATGTCCGAAAATTAAGGAAAGAATCAATCTCCGAAAGTGCTATAGTGCAACGATAGCCGAACAATTGGTAAGTAATAGGACAATAGGTAGATATATCTTGAGCGGGCTTTGAAAAATCTAGAAGTAATCTTCACAGTTGATTGCTAGGTTTTAAATCCAGCTCTCCATTCTTCCACAGAGCACAATCATACAAAAGTAACCAAGTCTCTTCTGACTCGCACACTGTCAAAGGGTATCCAACTAAAACCTTAAACAGCTAGACGAGGGCTATAAACCCTGTAGACGAACAATATTTATTCCTTATATAGATTTTAACCATAGAAATTCTAGTGATAACTGGTAACTACATGTAAAGTAGACACAGAAGTACTCAATTGGATTGTACACATACTCTGGACGTGTACACACAAAAACAGAAAGCAAAACAACAGAGGCTAAGAAGCTAATAACATCAGTTTAGATCAATACCTGAGACTTGAAACAGCATAACCTCGCCATCCAAAAGAAACCCCCCCAAGACAAGACAACAAAAAGGGCCCTCTGTTCAGCTGAATTCACAGCATCACTCCCCTGTTCCCACCACCAAATTGGGCAGCACGAAAAACTCCAACCCCAAGAAACTGCCCAATCATGATCGTCAGAGATCAAAATAAAGAAAGAGATTTTGAGCACCTCCAAACAAAACTCGAGAACCACACGAAGCAAAAAGCAATGGAAATCAACAGGACAGGAAATTAAGAACCTGCTTCCTCAAACTTTTCAACAGCTGTCGACAGTTCCTCTTATGAAGAGAACAGGGCTCCTGCCGATACCTCTGTGAAACAAAGCGGAGGAAACAAACACATACAAAAGCACAAAACCGAGGGGAGAGAAGGGAATCTGAAGGGTGCGGGTACGGCTTTTGGGGGGGTGCGCGCGCGCGTGTTGGTATGTAAAACCGTTTTGGGAGAGCCTTCCCCTGAGATTGAAAAGAACAAGAATAAAGAGCAAAAGGTTGCCAGAAAGCAGGCTCCGTTATGCCGTTTGACTTTGCTCCCCTTCTCTTTTTCCACTTTTTCGTGTCCGGGCCTCTTTAATACTCATCCCAACCACGTATCCATAGCTCGAGTTCGATCACAGTTGTCAAACACAAATCAATGTGAGAGATTATCTGCGGCACATAGTTACATTACATGATTATTTTAATCGATTACAATGGACCCCATAAAACAAAATTATCACATTTTACAACGTCCCACGCTCAATTACCGCACAATATTGCATGATAGAAAATTATGGAAACATATATTATATTTGCAGTCCAAAATAACTCGACGAGAATATAGAAACATGGTCGGTCGGAATCGGGTTCGAATAAAGAAGACGAACACGGTCATCGCTCAACAAACCATATGTTGGTTTCGAGGTTCGTGTTTTCGTTTTCCCGGGTCTCCCTTATTCCCCGTTTTTGGGTAAATACCCTCTTTACTTTCAAGCACAGCTCTATCTCAGAGTACGATCCGTTGACCGAACGTTTCTCACCAGCGCACCGCCCGCATCCAGCATGTTCACATTAGATTGCGGATCAACTCGCGCGTCCTCAACTCTGTCATACCGTGACTGCATCATCTTCCTATCGAAATTGACCGCACGGGAAGCTTTTTACCACGTTCCTAGAATTCAACCTTACTTAGCGCACGTTATACGTCTGCTGTTGTCGTACGTCCTCAGCTTCCCCCCACGAAGGAAGAAACCAAGTGCGCCTCTATCGCGCACAAAAAGTCAACATCTTCTTCTTCGGTCAGAATCCAGCTAATTCAACTTCAGATGTCGGCGGGAGCTCTCGAATTCGGACACGCCCTGATGAATGAATCGAATCGCGGTCCTCGCGGTCTGATTTCATGCACGCCAATGTTTAAAATTTGGGCCTCACGATTCAAAGTTCTTGTTCTTTTTAAAGGAGGGATGGTACGTAAGGTGTGAGGTAGCAGCCCAAGTTCTCAATGTGTTGGCCAACCGTGCGGTTTTTTAATCATCTGGGTATGCGATTGAGATTCCGAATTTGGAATTGTCAACAAGTGTGGTCTTGACCTCAAGGGCTCCCCTCCTCTTCAGTCCACCCTAGCTGACCCCTTGAAGGCGGGGTCGGAAGCGCGTTTCGGGGCCATTTCAAGCACTCGATCGGTTCCTATCGGCATTAGGCGCGACTGTTCTCTTGTCCAGTGCTCTCGAGACGACTGAGAGAGCGTGTAAGGACGACGGATGATTCGAACCGAGGACTTCCGGAAAGAGGGACTCGAAGAATTTTACTCGGCTAGGAGCTTGATTATTGTAAAAGCAATTTGGATTCGAGAAAAAGATCTACTTGCCAATTCAAAGCGATTAGACATTGTCGTGTTAGTGAATGAAACGTGCAATCGAGACCAACGGAGATGAGACAATTCCATGTTGTCCCGTCACTGGGGTTTAAAGGCAAGTTAGCGGGCGGGCGGGACGGACTTGGTCAAGCACACGATTAAGGATTAAGAAAATAAATCCTCTTTTCGGTCTCGTAATCAAAACTCACGTGGCAAGCAAAGTCAACGGGTCGACCCGTATTCGGTCTCCCTCCTGTGCCCGCAATTAAATGCGCTTGCGTTCTTACCCGACAACCCCGAATTGATATATGCGGGTGCGCGGCCTTTTCCAACCTTCGTGCATGTATTCTGTGCATGCGAAAGACTGGCTTTCGTTTGTTCTTGTTTTATCCATTCATTCAGGTCAGGCGATACATTCCGACTCTCGTCTCGACGGTTCTATATCATCGCTGTTGAGAAACGAGGACGATGAAGACGTATTTTGGGGCAATTTTTTCATCTTATGTTTTTTTCTCTCCCTTCACTTTGTACATATATGCATTTATCATACAAAAGATAAAAAAGAAAGAATAAACAAGATTACAGCGATTACACTCTCCTACTTTATCTCCGAGTATCCTTGATTGAATCAATTCAAATCAAGGTTAAAGATAAAATCGTATCTTTCTCCAACAATCGCTTCATCTCATAATGACTAAGAAAGGTAACATGATAAGAAAAGAGATGTAATTTGTCGGGGAAATCCTCGACAGGATATTTTCATTAGGTGTTTCGGGAGTATCGTTTTTCGGTGTAATCTTAGCCGACATGTGAGACTGTCGGCTAAGAGTACAGGACTCTTTGCTTCTGGGGGGCATCTATAGTTATTACTAAGTGAAGGGGGGGCCGATTTGATTTGAAAGCAAGTCGGCACCATTTGGTTTCATGGCCTCCACCTTAAGAGATGTTCATTCAGTGTATCTTGTTCATGTCGGTCGAGCCAGACAAAGGTCGTCCCGTCGTACCAAGTTCTGAGAAGTTTCCCACCAGATTGCTTCGTGATCGACATGCAACAGGTGATTCCCATGCGATGAGCGCAAGACAGATAACTAATGACCAGGGAGGGAGAAAACATTGGGTTCAATTCCAGGTCATGGAACTCAGGTCGATCGATCCGTCTCCGAATCGAATCACCGGTTGACGTGGTTTATGCTATAAACGGTCGACCTCCAGTTCCTCGACTGCTTTCCTGCATGCATGAAATCTTGTGTCTGTTAAGTATAATCCGACATTGCTTAAATATGTAATTATAATGTGCCTTATAGACATGCGGTCTCCTTCCACTTACTGGCGTTAGTTTTTAGGTTGGACATTTTAACGTAACATCAAGGCCTGGAACAAGATTTCGAATTGCGGCACCTGCTCTCAAACTTATTGCTCGTGATGGGTTCACAACTACAATCTTTGCAAGTACACCCTCATCCGAGGTTTTTACTTGGTACTTTCCTGAATTCTAGTACGATAATCCTCCAATGAGTAGGGTATAAGTGAGATGTTTATGCAAATCCCGTCACTAAAAATACATCATGAGCTCAGGATGAGAAGGATATTGGTGTTGTTGTCTTATCTCTGTGTGTACGTATGTGCGCGTGTGCAAGTATTAAGCTTTGATATTGATTTTGCCTGTAGTGATCTCGGGACGAAAAATGCGGCGGTCGATCAGTCCTAGAGTCGCTAATTGATGCTACTAGAGAGAGACAGCTATCCAGTTATACTGTCATCTGAGAAAAATTAGCACTGGGAGGGACTATGAACAGCCAAAAAAGAAATTCTGAATGAGGAAATAACACGACGCAGAGGCACGAGAATGTATCCGCTTTGCGACACGACAAGCGATCGCCTGTAAATCCATCACGAAATGACATCCTTTCGCTTAATAGCAGGTAATTAAGATGGTTTTAGTGTTGTCTCACGTTACAGCACTTTTTTTCTCGACTAGCTACTGGGGTTTGGGCATGCAGAGACCAACTGAAGACCCAAATCATGAAATCATCTGTTTTCTTTTTCACATGCCGATCCCTCGATAACAAAGAGGAGTTATGATAACAAATTATATCCTCCCTCAGATCAAGTTAACGGCGAAGACCACCAGATGATGATAGGTGTAACTATGAACTGAAGAGAAAGCACAAACTTGGTTTTATTAGGGGCCCATATGTCCGTGTTATGACAACTCTCTCCAGCTATGAGAACAAGACATACTATACACAACGGCTTCATACATTTTTCGTCAAACGAACAAATTCCATATATAGTACAAGAGGAAAAGGAAAAAAAAAAGAAAAGGACAGACCACCAGCTGCCTGGAACAATTTTGGACGTCCAAGGTGTAGCTTGAGAGGTTAAATTGCTGGTCAGGTCGAACCGATAGAGAGAGAAGCAGTGCCATATGATATGTACTCGGGACTTCTACGTCTTTCTCGTGCCCCTTTTGGATTAGGCCACGGCCATCTCTATGATATCTCCTCATGTTTCTTGTGTATTAAATAGTCACCTGTTACGAGAATGTAGAGTGTCTCAGAAGTTTCACAAGCTGGAGAAGCAGCCAAAAACTTTAGCAAATACTTCTCCACCACGCGGGGAAGCATACCTAATATTCTTTCAGAAACTCAAACTTGCAAGATTAGTGGCTCCTCGAAGAGAACTTGACTATCAAAGATAAGGGGACTTTACAGCAAACAATATACGCCAGTAACACAACCCAATATCTAATGGCACACATAACTTTTAGCAGGATCATCAACAAGAGAGATTATTAGAGTTCTTTTGTCCAACAGTGTCAAATCCACTTATTATAACTAAGCAGAAACTCTCTGGGGGACATTCTCATATGAAAAATGGGCTGTTGCAGCAATCTCAGGTATGATTAAAGTTCAACTCTTACCCAGTTTGAGATAACCGCCTCAAATTAATTATTTGATGGGATTGCGGATGCCTTTGTAAAAAAGCCGAACTATTGCCAATTCCATTTTCGTCGCCCACGATTTGGTCAGAGAAGCTAGAAGCTGAGGGCGACCAAACTGGAACGACTCCTCCATCCCTCTCTCTCCTGCTAGCGCTCGAAGACTCTGCAGTGGAATCTTCAGCATCATTATGTAGCCCAGGTGAAAAGTTATACATTGGTCGGGTGTTGTTTGGTCGAAGTTCTCGGAAAACCCCCTCATTTAACGTGTCTCTTCTTGGTTCTTCATTCAAATTTACATTTGCAGGCACTTCTGCTCTAGTGTCACCTACGGAGTTTTGAATACCAGAAGAAGTCTCGTCTTCGTACGCTCTAACCAGAGAAGTTATGCTCGGAACCATTTGATCCTCGTAACGGCGAACTGGACCTGGTGGGTTGTTCTGCATAGTTTCGTGATTTTCCTCCATTTGTATATCTTCAGGAAAAGCGATCAGAGCTGATTCAGCTGAGTCTCCTAGCCCTTCCTCAGTTCCATTCTCTATAGCGGCTCTTGATGTTGCTTCGTGCTGCCACATAATTGAAAGTGCATCTTGCAACCTCACTTTGGC